TGAGGACAGGTGAGAGAAGTGAAAGCCAGATTTGTACCACACACAACCTTTCATCCGTGGGAGGAAAAAAGAGCCAGCAAAGCACTCAGCATCAGCCTGTGCTGCCAGTGAGTCGCTGGACACTGGTCTGTGGCCTGGACTCCTTTTCTCTTCTTTCCTACTTCTTGCTTACACCACAGGTCATGAAGATTTCAAGAGACTGGCCTTTGGAGTGATCCCTCTGCCATTGTCTCTCATTCCAAAAATGTATCTTTTTTTGGTTTCAAGATACAATCTCAGGTTATGGTGACTTGAATTTAGTTTGGATCTGGGAGTGTTCTCCAAAATCTCATGTTAACGTGTTGGTCACCAGCAGCTTAGGCACTATGTGAGAAGAAATGGAAACATTAGGAGGTGGGGCTTAGTAGGAAGAGCGTTATGTCACTGTGGGAAGAAGGGGCCCAGTCCCTTCTCTCTTTGCTTCCCAGCCACCATGAAGTGAGCAGCTTTGCTTCATCAGCACACCCCACCATGATGTTCTGCCTCACATAAACCCAAAAGCAATGGAGCCAGCTGACCATACACTCAAACCTCTGAAACCAGAGCCAAGATAAATCGTTTCTTTCCTGTTTGTCTCAGATATTTTGTCACAGCAACCAAAAGCTAACTAACACAGGAGCTCAATGATACCATGGAGAGGAGAGTCACTGGAAGTCACAATGGTCACTATCCATACTAGTTACAGTAGAAAGCTGGATGAGTCCCAGGACATGGATCATGGAACACAAAATAAACATTGTGAGTCCCCCTCCTTCTTTAAGCTCATCACTGGGGACAAAGTTGCCCCTAACCATGTCAGGATAAGGCTGCACTAGTTAGGTTTTCTCAAGTAGTATGAGTTAGCAATTATGAAACTACATAATGTTCTTTAGCCTATTAGAAATTAGCAAATAAGAGGGTATATTATGACTAATGAGGGCCATTTTTTTCTCACAAAAAAGAAGGAAGATATAATGTGAAGAAAAGGTTAGAATGAATCTAGGTGTGTTGGAATTAAATAGAGGCTATCAGTATCGACCTCTTTCTAGATAGATATGGGGAAACTACATATATAGTATACATTCAGAACCCAGTGAGGGGATCTTTTATAAGGCTAAGGTATTAGATATAAAAATTCATATGTAATGTTTATGTCATCACCACCAGGAATTGATCTCAGTATACCAGAACCTAGAAGGAAAGTTTCATACTTTCTCTTGAGCATGTTGGCTCTTCTAAGGAAAAGAAGTTCTAGATATAGCCTTATGTTGAGAACACAGGTCTAAGCAAGTTCCGATCCAGATTTCCAGGGAGAATATTATGTATATACCATGCTACTTAACCTGTTGTTGCACCTGTCAGTGGTGTGTGTGTGTGTGTTTCACTGGGGGTCAAACTCTGGGCCTCGCATATAATAGACAAATGCTAGACAACTGAGCTACATCCATAGCCCTACTGGTGTATTTTAACTGCCTATCTACCCATGGAGACGTGGCTATCTGCCCTGATGGCCGGTTTACTACTGACTCCAAACACTACTACCACCTGTATTCATGTAACTGCAGCTTCTTCTACTGAAGTATGTTCCCCATCCCACTTTGCGCTTGACCATGTGTTCACTTTGGGCAGTGCGATGTTAGTGAACCTCATACTAGTTCAAGTTTGACTTGGAACCTTTATTGGAATCTGGTTGAGTAAAAGGCTCCTGTTTTTTGTAGTAAGGAGATGACATTCCGGGAGATTATATCTTATCAATTATCTTTCTTCCTTTTCAGGGCTATCTCAAAGCAAAGGAATCAGGACACATGAAGAGTCCTCCATTTGGAGTCATGGATAGGACAATGGACAATTTTGGTCTTCAAAAAAACCATCATTAGTTTGGCTTTAAGAAGCCAGCAGCTAGGTGCTACTGAAAAGGTAAGGGAGGGTGCTACCTGGTAACAGAATAGCTCCACACCACAATTTGAAACTATGTTTAGTTTTAGTATGTGAGCTTTCAGAAAGTCAGTTGCCATTCCACCTCTGTTGCATTTCATATTTTTATGCATTTCATGTAATTCGTGAGAAACCGCTGTGGCTAATCTGAGGACTTATGATTTTATCCCACTCCATCAGTTCGGTTGCAGTGTTTATATCTGGAATTTAGGGTGTACATAAATATGTGACTGTCCTGATTAGTGTGCTTCATCCGAGAAGCACCAACACAACACTAAGAGATGTTCTCCAAGACTGCAGAAGCAAATTCTTTACTATTGTGTTTTATTGGTAGAGAGCACTGAAGAGCTAAAACTATATGCCATACATGTCAAATTTGAAAGCGATTGTATTAATCAACACTTTCCTGAAGCTGTTAAAAACTATGCCTTATTTTTGGTAATCTTTTCTGCTTTTTGTATTATTAATTTTACTCATCAAATTACCTTCAAGAAATCATTGTTGCAATATTTAAAAACAACTTATGTGTACCAAGTTCATTTTCTGAATGAGGAATATAATTAATGAACTATTTTAATGAAAATCAAAAGTCTGCTTCTTAGAAAAGGTAAATCAGAGCCAGGTGCCTGACAGTGGCTCACACCTGTAATCCTAGCTATTCAGGAGGCAGAGATCAGGAGGACCGCAGTTTGAAGCCAGCAAATAGTTTGTGAGACCCTCTCTCGAAAAAACCCTTCACAAAAAAGGGCTGGTGGAGTGACTCAAGATATAGGCCCTGAGTTCAAGCCTCAGTACTGCAAGGAAAAAAAAAGGTAAATCAGAAACATTGATAAAACGATGATAAATCTGAGGAAGGGAAGTATCTTTTATAAAATGAAAGGAAATAGGATTCTAAGTAATGAAGATAATATTCTACCCAAGTGCACTGCTTTCGCTTAAAGAAAGGAAGGTTTGTTTTGTCTTGCAGTACTGGGGATTGAATCCAGGATCTTGTGCATGTTAGGGCAACTGCTCTACCGCTTGAGCCATGTCTCCAGCTGCCCTTTTTTGTTTATTTTGTGACACAGAGTCTTGTGGTATAGCTCAGACTAGCACCAAACTTGTATTCCTCCTGCCTCAGTCCCGAGTGGTAGGATTACAGTCATGCTTCACCATGACTGGCCTAAGAAAGGTTGGTTTCTAATAAGAAAGTTGTGAATGCAGCCAAGCAAAACCTTGAGTCAGTGAAGAAAAAGTAAGTAATTGTCTCAATATATGTTGTAAGCGATCCAATAAAATAAAACAACTCTTTAAGAATCCTAAAAATGGAAATAGTAATTCCTTAAGCAATATACTCATTATCTTTAATAGTAAATCATTTTCTATTAAACCAAGAACAAGAGGTCCACCACATATATCATTGAGTAGACGTTCTGGCCAATGAAATAAGACTAAAAATAAATACAACCAGCAGTAGGTACTAAATAAAAATTAAATAGAACTAAAAATATATCATATTATTGGTAGAAAGAAAACAGAGCAAAAAAAGTTTTTCACAAAACATTTTATTACTATAATTGTTATTTTACTTAGCATTGTTCACAACATTAATAAAATAAATTTCATCTGGAAGAACAAGCAGCAAAATAGACAAAATTCACAAAGGTTAATAAAATAGTAATCTGGACAGATATCCAATATATTTGTAAACAAAACAAAGTGACATTGCTTTAAAAAATATAGCGCTATAAATACAAAAACGGAAAACTTCTGAAAGACTCAACTTACAATATTAATTTTCTTTTGGTTGTAGGCACAGAAATTGACTCAAGATAGCTCAATTCTAAGACAGAAGCAAAGCCCTTGACAATGATTTCTTCTCAGCTTTTTAGTGACTATATAGAAAACAGCTGAACTGGAGTGGAAGCAAATTGCCTTTAGAGAGAAGGAATAAGTAAGGCTTTAAACAGCAGAGATTTCTACTTACTTACTCTAAGAACCTTGGTGAAACTCAATGAATCAAAGGTGAGGTACAAGTCATGCAGACCTGGGGAAAGAACATTCCAAGAAAGGGAAAAGCAAGTGCAGCCTTTGAATCAGAAGAGATGTGACTTACTTCAGAAATAACAAGGCCAGTATGTCAAAACAGTGCATCAGCAGAGAATAAGGTAGTAAAGCAAGGCAGACAAAGAAAGCAGGAGGTAGCCAGGGGCCAGACCACTGGAGCTTATAATTAGCAATAAATGACAATTTGTACTCCTTAGGAGCAAGCGCTAATGAAATATCACTTAACACTAAGCAATCCCTCAAACATAGAACTAAATAGTTCTTATTTTTCAGTAGAAACAGAGTATACAATAATACTCTGTAGATTTAGTTACACACAGTACAAGTTTCCACCAGAACACACTGGATAAATGCATACACTTTCTACACCTGAAGAAAGGGTTTGGGATCAAATTTTAGCAATGTCCCTTGGCCTAAGTAAAATAACTGAAAAGGCCTAGTAAAATCTCCAATGTGCAAATGAATCAGTCAAGCATGAAGTAAACAAATACAACAGAATCTACTCACAACCACTTCTCTGTAACCCTTCCTTCCTCAACTCTAATGAGGATGCCACGGTCTGATGATTATCTCTTTCCAGCTCTCTGTGAAAACAGAAAATTTAACTAGATTGAAGTAGCCCAGGGTAGCCTGGAACTCATGATTCTCCTGCCTCAGATTCCCAAGGGCTGGGATGACAGGTATACTCCACCACTCATGATGAGATAAGGTACCTTTAAGGGAAGGAATGAGAAAAGTAGAGATGTTTACAACCAGTGTGCTAGATTCCTTGACTGGAACAGAGCGATGGTGCTCTCTTGAGGATGGAGGAACAACAGATGGCACCAGACCCAGAAAGACAACCCTGGGAACTCACAGAAGCAGTAGAAGCTGCTGATGTTTAGGAACCAATATTCAGAAACTATATTTGATGCTTGGGAAGGGCAAGGAAAGAAGGTCCCTCTACAGTATAGTGATATATCAAATAGCACAATATATCCAATGAAGGATAACTCTAAACCTTAGTACTTAGTAAGTCTTAGAGTTAACAACAGGACATTCCTTGCACACTGGTGCCCTTTAAGTAAGACCCAAACAGTGATAGTGCGATCAACTGGGAAATAATACATATAACAAAGAAAAAACTATTAATTTATACACTCACATCCAAAGCAATACACAAAATTTCAAGCTTCACAGTGTTCAATTACCTTTAGATACACATTTACCAAAAAATACAAGGACAGGTCCTATACTGGGTTTAATTTTAATCAGCTGCCCTGGGCTATTTTTGTCCACTTTAACCACTGTTCTTGGACAAGCCCCCATTCCAGATTAACAGCAGCAGAACTAAATTTAGCACAGGCCATGAACTGGAGATACTATTTGTTCGGCCATTCTCAGTTAAAATGTGAGTCCAGTATAGTTTAGACTATAGATGCCAGTGCTTCTTTCTCTACAGTAACACAGCTTTGTCACTGCTGCGGTTGAGAGTGAGATGGCCTGTTCATTCTCCACTAATGGCTAGTGAAAGGGAGGGGAGTAAATCCGTTTTCTCATTAGATCATTCAAGAGGAAGTCCATTGGCACCAGTTCCCATTCTGTTAATTACTGTTGCTTCTTCATATGAAGCTAAAGCTATAGCAGCAGTCTGATGTCTGCAGAGGATCTTCACAAACTCCGGCATTTTACAAGAATGGTTTTGCTTCTTTGATGTTCTTCCCTTAGGTAAAGGCACTATGGAGCAGTGTTTCTTCTGCCTTGGCTCCAATATTAGCGTGAACGTGTGCCTATCTCTCATTGGGACAAGGAGCCACTGCTCTCCCTTGACTAACCAGTGCCTTTCTGATATCCATTCATACCATATCTAGGCTTTCAGAACCAGGTGATTTTATGCCAGCAAAGAAGCACTTCTGTGAGTTCGTGAGCAAACTGGCCAGGAAATAACAAAGTCACTCCAGTCTGATTAGTGTTAATAATGAAATCTGTAATATGTGGAAAATAAAATTAAATACTTCAAAAGCTGTACAAATTCATTATGTAGAACTTCCAAGCTTATGAATAACATGAAATACCAAAATAATAAATAGATTTCCACTTTTGTTTTCCTTTCTCTAATTCAAACATACACACAAACACTTTTCATGTGTTGAGCTAGTTAACATGAAAACTAGGTAATATATCTTAAATACCTCAAAATTCAATCAAACAACACTGCAGAAGCTGGGAACGTGACTCAGTGGTAGAGGACTTGCCTACGATGTTCCCCAGCACTGGGGGAAAAATACTGCATTATCATGAACTTAAAAAAAATTCATTAGTTTCACTGTTTTTGATGCTACTGACTGATGTATTGTTTGCGTTTTTGTTTCTACAGAAGTTATTTCAATTGAAGTATTTGCTTTTGGTTGGTCAAAACTAGAATTAATGCAGCTTTTTTGAAATTCTACTTTTAGACTTGGGGGAAGATAGTTCACAGTCAGTTGTGCTCACAGTAATGGATGCTATGTTTGCTGACTCAGGCTGAACAGGTCCCAGTGACACTTGAATAATGACTTTTGTCTCGGGAGGCAATCCTTCTAGTTGCTTAGGCTTCTTAAACATTTGATGACACTGGGTCTTATGTTCCATTTTCTCCTTGAAAGTTAAGAACTGAAGCCGACATTTAGAACACTGGTGAACACTCCTTTCCCAGTGTCCCCTATAATGACACATGTATGGTGTTCCAGCTTTGAATATTTTGAGACAAAATGGACAAAGCAGATTTTTAGTGTTCACATGGCACTTTGTGAAATGTGCTTCCACATCGGCAAAGGCCGATGACCTATAATTGCAAACCTGGCACACATAGGGCATCTCCCCAGGCTTATGATTGTCCTTCATGTGTTGTAAGAGAACCTGATCTGTTTCAAATGACAACTCACAGATTTTACAGATAGAAGAGGGCTCCTGGGTAGTGTGCACACTGTCAACATGAAGTTCTAGCTGGAAGGGAGTGGGAAACTGGCGGTGGCAGTGCTGGCAAGTGGTGGGGTTTTCCCAGCTGTCACTCCTCTGCTTCTCGAGTTCCAAGTAACGCTTTACGTGATTCATAAACTTAACATTTTTTAGAAATTTCAAGCAGCACAGGCATTTAAAGGTTGCATAAGTCTTTTGTTTTGGATGCCCATCTCCTTTATAATGTCCATAGTAAAAGTCACTCAATAACATAATTAGATTTTCTTTTTTGGGATCAGCATTCTTGTTCGGACTTGCTGGACTTGAAAAGTCTATTTTTGTCAATCCATTTTCCCTATCAGGATTTAAATCTGTGGGCTTGAGATGGGCACTGTCCTTTGGAAAAGCTGTTGGAGAAAGTACTTCATTCTGAACATGGCTCAATGAGGCAGGAACATCACTGGAGGGTGTACTTTGCTGAGGACTCACTGTATGAAAAATGCCCAAAGGGGACAAAGTTGAAGAACATCCCTCTATGATTCCATCACTGAGTTTAGGTCTTTGGGGATTTATGCTATTTACTTCAGAAGTGGAACGTCGCTTTGCTGTACAAGGACTTTCATTCACGTCTCCTACTGAAAGTCCTGCACTTACTGGATGATGCAATGAACTTGTGAATGTAACCACAGGAGAACATAACTCTGAAGATCTAGCAGGCACGACTTGTGGTGAATTATCTTTATAATCAGGTATAGACAAAGGCTCAATAATAATAGGACTATCTGTTGATCTTGATTCAGATGGAGATGCTGGCAAGACAATCACTGTTTCTGATGTGGAGGCCATAGGACTTGTAGGCTGCACTCTGTGAGCATTTTTTTTCCTAAGGCGGCCATACTTTTTTCTCCTTGAACATGAACCTGGGGTGACTCTGTTCAAAATGTTTGAAACCACTGGTTTTGAATTTGAAGTTACCCCGACAAAGATCAGCTCAGCATCTTCATTTACACGTTCCACCCCAACAAAAATCAGTTCAGCATCTTCATCATCTATTTCTTTGGTTTCTTTTAATCTCTTCTCTGGTTCTGGATTTTGTTCTTCCTCACATAACAAACATGGTTGTTCCATTTTTTACTTTTTTCATTCTTGAAGGGTGTGGTCACAAGTTCCAGTGCTTCATTTACATAAACTGCCACCTAAGTACAAACATACTACATATCAGTAAGTAGAGAAAAATGCATTAGCACATTTAATTCTCCTCCAAAACTCTGAGGTAGTAATAAACATCCTTATTGTACAGGCAATGGCACTGAAACTCAATGGCAGCTTAAAACCTGTAAGATACAGGCTCTGGGACTCCAGAATCTTTTTCACAGCTTTGTCCTAAACTGACTATGATCTCTTCCATTTGCAAAAATATCCTCCTGCAATTAATTTCCAGGGGAAAGCATATGGAAAGGATAAGTATTTTTGCAAAGGCACCATTGTGCAGTGTTTAAAACATGGGCTTTAGAGCTGGAATTCTCAGTCCACCACATGCCAGCTGTATCTTCTTTAGTGAGTTCCTTGCTTTTAAGTGTATCTTGGTATCTTGAGGCAAAATTCTTATTTCTTAGACTTACGGTAATAACCACTTTTTATAAAGCATCAACTGTTCCATGGCAGTTTGTTTCACAGAATTAGAGGAAAAACATATTAAATGCATGTATCTCAACTGATCCATTAATATGGAGGAGAGACATCAAATTTATAGAGTAAGAGTATCTACACATAGCCAATAATGTCAAGTGCTTGGTATATGCCAGTCATACAAATTAGGAATTAACTTTCTTATAATCTCAACTTGGGACTTATTTTTTTCATTTTTTTTAGCATATAGTCATCATACAGGGACTGGGGGGAATTTGTTGTGACATTTCTGAGTAGCCTTATATTGTACATTAGTTAGATCACCCCCTTCATCTCCCTCCCTGCCACTCCCTTCCTGTCCCACTGAAAGCAATTACAAGGAGTCTCATCATTCAATTTCTTTTATGTATATGAAGCCCATCAACCCTATTCCTTTGTCTTCATCACTTCCATTTACCCCCAATTCCCACCAGTACCTCCACATATGGTGTACCTATTTTACAGTCTTACTTTCATTATCAATTCCAAAGTCAATGTTCACAGGGGTTTCTCCATGCATCCCAGCTGCAAATATGCTTTATTTTGGTCAGTTCAATCCTGTCACTCTCCCTTACCCCCATTATTTGATAGCTTTTAGTACATATTGTTATGTCCTCCACCTGTGCATAGTATTTTTTTGTCTTTGACTGATTGATCTAATTCCTCTTATTTTCAGTCCCTGATATTTTTATTTTCAACTTGTTCTGTTCTATAAGCTAGACTTTCGAGTTTTTATTTCACTTATTAAGCTTTCATTTCCAAGATTTCAATTTTATTTTCTTCAAGATTTCTATATTTATTGAATATATCTTTCCTATCTTGCACTGTCTTTATTTCATTCAGCTATTTTTTTTAAATTCAGTTAATTTGTATCCTCTTTGAAAGCATTCAGCTACTTACACATCTCCTCTTCAATTTCATTGCTTATTCTTGTCATTGCTTTTTTGAATTCATTGTTTAAAATTTCTTCTTCCTTACAATCACTTAAGTCTTTTGGTTTTTGAAGGAGTCATGTTGCCTTGTTTATTTCAAGTAACTTGTATTCCTACATTGTGTTTACACATCTGGGGCCTACTTTTTCGGCTGAAAGCTTCAATCTCCTGTGTTAGTTGGGGATCTCCCAGAGACTACTTAAGACCAAATGACAGCCGGGTTGTGACCTATTTTCTTGTCATTAGATGTGTGGCTCATTAATAAAACACTTTATTTCAATGCTTGACACTGGATTCAACCCCCTACTCCACACAGGGAGAGGAAGGTTGGCTGCAAAAGCTATCACAGGTAATAAATCACCACCTTGAGATAACAGCAAATCCTAATGAAGTCCTATCACCACTTCTGTTCCAGTATATTTAGAGGAATATAGGCGCAAAGAAGAATCTTTGTCATGTAGGAAGAACTTAGTTAGTAAGTGTGGTAGTGGGAAAGGAGACAGGATATCACTAATGAATAATACAAACTGAAGGACTTCACAAATCAGGAAGGGGTGGCTGCCTAGCTTCCTAGTATGGAAGTGGAGTGAGTGAGACAGATCTAGTTAATGTGTTGGGGAAGAAAGAAGAAAGAGAAATGAAGAAAATTAAATACATAAAGACAATCTGGCATCTAAATTACCTGCTAAACTACAGGTAACAAAAGTTTATGGATGGGAAGAAAATGTGGTATCTATACACAATGGAATTTTATGCAGCCATGAAGAAGAACAAAATGTTATCATTCGCTGGTAAATGGATGGAATTGGAGAACATCATTCTGAGTGAGGTTAGCCTGGCCCAAAAGACCAAAAATCGTTTGTTCTCCCTCATATGTGGACATTAGATCATGGGCAAACACAACAAGGGGATTGGACTATGAGCACATGATAAAAGCGAGAGCACACAAGGGAGGGGTGAGGATAGGTAAGACACCTAAAAAACTAGCTAGCATTTGTTGCCCTTAACGCAGAGAAACTAAAGCAGATACCTTAAAGCAACTGAGGCCAATAGGAAAAGGGGAACAGGTACTAGAGAAAAGGTTAGATCAAAAAGAATTAACCTCGAAGGTAACACCCATGCACAGGAAATCAATGTGAGTCAATGCCCTGTACAGCTATCCTTATCTCAACCAGCAAAAACCCTTGTTCCTTCCTATTATTGCTTATACTCTCTCTACAACAAAATTAGAGTTAAGGGCAAAATAGTTTCTGCTGGGTATTGGGGGGGGGAGAGGGAGGGGGTGGAGTGGGTGGTAAGGGAGGGGGTGGGGGCAGGGGGGAGAAATGAACCAAGCCTTGTATGCACATATGAATAATAAAAGAAAAATGAAAAAAAAAGTTTATGGAGGGGGAGCTAGAAATAGAGGAAAATATGAGTGAGAGAGCAGTTGTAATTGTAGACAGAAGGAAAGTACAGATGGGGAAGGGAGATTGGAAAGGGAAGGAGAAGATATGGTTTAAGATTGAATACCGAAAGGTGGGTGTTGTGATTCACATATAATGACTAGAGAAAATGAAGGAAAGAGAAGCAGAACTAAATAGAAAATGAGAGAGTACAAAGTTACCTTAACCAGATTAAACACACACACACACACACACACACACACACACACAAGCAAAAAAAAAAAAAGTCTGAATGTCCAATGAAGGCTTCTGCGTTCTGGGTCCTCAGCCCCGCCCCAACCCCAGCCTCACAGTTTCCACTAAACTTATAGCTTCTCCTTCTCCCAAGACTTAGCCAATGCACATCCTGTTGTCTGCTCTGGTGGCAGTTCTTTCCTGGGTCAGAAGCAACTGAGCTATGCTTTCCATCCTACTGCTAAGGTACTTGAACCTGAAGACAGTTCTTCTAGTATAAGAGAACTAGATCCTCTGCTTCTGATCTTTCAGGACTTTAGCTGAACCTTTGTGTCTCTCTCCTCACTGTCTAAAGAGTCTCCTAGGAGCAGATTACAAAAGCTTTGGTGTCCTGAGAAGCAAATGGAGAAGCATGACCTTGAGCATATTTACAGCCTGTACTCTTTACGCCAACCATAAACTCTAATTTTCAAAAAGTCAAGAGCACTTCTTCAAAGTACTTTCTTTTCTCCAAAGACAGGCTGATGTAGATGATTTCTATCTTTGTACTGAGGGGTTTAATTCTAGAATGGATTATTCTCAGAGCATTAGTAAGTGTTCATAATAAAGTAGGCTGAGAAGCATGTAAGTTGGTCAGTGTTATAAGGACACTTTTATATCTGGAGGGTCATTTTCACTGGTAGTAATGGATACCACCCAATGTCATGGCTCATGAACAATCTGACTCCAGAACTCTAAGTATTGACTCCTATGAGATCTTCCTCCTGTGAACTTCAACACCACCAACATCCTGTTAACCAGAGACATCAAAGACCAAGAGCAGACCTCTGACAGAGCTCTTTACAGCTGGACAGTAAGAGAACCGACTTCCTCCTGAAATTAACCTGCAAAGGTACAGACCTAGAATTGAACTGGAACCTCCTCAGTTCTGTAACAGAGAGGGTGGAAACCATCACTTTTGCCTTCCCGCCTTAATCCTTCTCCTAATCTTTTAAAGACTATCTTTTTCATATGGTATTCTAAATTCCACAGAGCAGCATCTGTAACATCTCACCCTCTCCTCTACTCACATGAATTGACTTGCAAAAAAAGTAACATTTGTCTGAAAAGAAAATGCAGGTGCTGACTCAAGATGTCAAGGTTTCAGGTCCTGGTCAATTTTTGAAGAAAGGGAGAGAGATTGTGTTCTGGAAAGAAAGACCCAGAATAAGGATTTCTCACACTTTGTTTCATTGTAATCTGTTGTGTTCCATAAAAACCCTTCACACCTCAATCCCCTGAAAGGCGGAGATTTGAGACTGAAAATTCTCCTCTATGTTCCTCAGGACTGAATAAATCTGGTTCCTCCTACTAATTTCTGTCTTCTGGTTTTTCAGTATCATGCCAAGCAGCAGTAATCTTAGATTCAGCAACAGTTTCAGTGAAATAAATAATAGTTCGAGAGTTGCAGGATGCACAGCGGAGGCATCAGTTTCAGGTTATGAATGGAGCCCAGAGATGTCCAGGGAGGCCAAGCTCCAGACTGGAGCAGGGAGATTCCTGGCTTTCAAGCTTATACCAGCTGAGCAGATGTTCAGGCCTTTTCTGAGCAGTTCTGATGGTAGTACACAGTTACTCTCAATGTAACTGTTGTTTTCTGTGGTTGGAGACTCTGTATCTGGAGACTCTTAAGCTGTGGTCAACAGACTGAACCTTAACTCATGCAGCATCAGAGAAGCTAGAAATTAATAGTCCAGTAAATACAAATGTATATACAAGAGAGAGGAGGTGAGAAAGGGAGAAAGAGAGAGAAAGAAAGCCTCACACCCTGAGAGCTGGCTCTTAGCTTGGAAATCATCACTGAGTATGGTTCTCTGTTAGGCCCTCCAGAACTCTGAAGCCTGAATAGAAAGAAGGTTCCTTGTATTGAAGGTCCCTACCATTGGAGCAGGGTTTGCTTTAAGCAGAGAGAAAGATTTTGGATACAATTGGTTCTGT